ATGCTGAAGGATCGTGATGCTATGGGTCCCGTGGCCCGGGCCGCGAGCCCGTGTCCCAGCGGCGGGGAATCAGCTTCATGTCCGACAGCTTGTGCCGGATGCGGCGGAAGAATATTAGATCGTTATTATTTGTTAGCGGTTGACAGACAATGGCATTCACCTTGCCTCAAGTGCACTGAGTGCAAATCGCCTTTGGATACGGAGCTCACATGTTTTGCAAGAGATGGAAATATTTATTGCAAAGAAGATTATTACAGGTAATTTTTAATCCCCCCCCCTTTCCCCCCTTTCTCCCTTCCTCCTTCTCCCACGGGAATCGAAAAATCAAAAAAAAATTTTCTTCTGCTTCATTTCTTTTCTATACGTCACACACACACACACACACGCGCAAAAAAAAAACTAAAAAATTATAGTCTATGAAAAAAATGAGGTTATTTTTTTTTTTCGCAAATGATTTTCTATACCTGAACTTAAAATTTTATAAAAAAAAAAAACGTTTTTATGTTTCTTAATTATTATTTACGTTTTTTTTTTTGCTTTTATTATTATTATTATTATTATTATTATTATTATTATTATTATTATTATTATTATTATTATTATTATTATTATCATTGTAAAAATATCGTACGAATTTCACGATTTTTAAATATCAAAAAAAATAAAGCCGGCGGTAAATGTAGGAAAACTCTATAACACGTCCGCCATTTTTCTTTTTATTTTTTTTACATTGTTGTTAAATACGAGAGAGAAATTTGATGTAAACCCCCCCCCCCAATTAATAATAATTCGATTTTGTTTTAATTTAAACGTTATCAAACCGACGAGTTTCTTATCAAATAATAATAATAATAATAATAATAATAATAATAATAATAATAATAATAATTTTAACATTTTTGCCGTGTAAAAAATTAAAAAAAAAAAAAAAACTCCTCGTGTGGTCGTTTAATTTAAAAGAATTTAAATTTACCCGTTAATTTTTTATCTATTTACCCGTTTCTCTCTCTCTCTCTCTCTCTCTCTCTCTCTCTCTCTCTCTCTCTCTCTCTAACTCTCAAACCCTTTTCTCTTTTCTCTCTTTTCTTTTACATTGGCATATGTGCATTATTAAATCATGCACGTGTCTATACGTGATAATGTACCGAAACTAATGAGACCATCTTTTCTTTTTTTTTTTTTTTTTTTTATCTCTCGTGCCTCTTAGTTTTTTTTTCTTTTTCAATAATGATAATAATAATAATGAATTTATCATTAGATGATTACGCGATATGTTTTGTTGTTGTTTTTGTTGTTGTTGTTGTTACGCAAACACGAATTTTTTTTTGTTTGTTAAGATTGTTTGCAATAAAAAGATGCAGCCGATGTCAAACGGGTATTTCGGCAAGCGAATTAGTTATGAGAGCCAAAGACATGGTTTTTCACATAAATTGTTTTACTTGCACGTCATGCGGCATACCATTATCGAAAGGCGATCATTTCGGAATGAGAAACGGACTGGTGAGATTTCATTCACAATAATGATAATGATGATAACGAATGAGTAAAAATATGTGTGTGTGTGCATTTACCTTTTACGTGTTCCAATTCAGGTTTATTGTCATCCGCATTACGAACATTTATGCAGTCACGATCCATATTGCAACGATTTGGACAACGTTTTCCGGGCCGGAGGTTCACCGGCGGATTTTTACAATACCGGAAACGATAGAATATCCGGTGGAGTACAAAAAGGAAGGCCGAGAAAAAGAAAACTTCAAACTCCGATCGATTCTTCACCAGGCTCCGATTTAAACGTTTCTTTAAGATTATCGACTGCCACCCTAGGTATAAAAAAAAAAAAAAAAATATTTATTATTATTATTATTATTTATTTTCACTTCCTACGACCGACCCATACAAAAAAAAAAAAAGGGAGAGAAAAGAAGTATGGCAAACATTTTTGTTTATCAATATTTCACGATCAAAAGAATAATAATAATAATAATATAAATACGGTAAAGTTGTACAAACAAGTTTTTTTTTTTTTTTTTTTTATTTGCAAAAGCTCTTATGTTAACGTACGTGTTTGACTTTACAGTAAAACATAAGCGGATTGAAATGAAGTCATAAAAAAAAAAAAAAAAAAAAAAAAGGAACAAAGATGGAGGAGGGTTAGGAGAAAAAAAAAAAAAAAAGGTTGATTTTTTTTTTTTTTTAGGGATTCTGCTTTTTTTTTTTTTTTTTTTTGAATAAACCTTTTGAAAAGATTTCCCTAGCGTCGTACAACCTCTCGAAAACTTTTTTTTTTTCTTTCTTTCTTTTATTATTTGAATTTTTTTAATTTGAAAAAAAAAAAAAAAAAAAAAATCTTTGGAATGGCATCAATTCCCTACGATGATTGCGTAACCGTAATAATGATAATAATAAAAAAAAATCGCGAATTATTATTATTATTATTATTATTACGACGCGTAAAATTATTAATAATGATGATAATAATTTGGTTATTTTTCATATACGTACGTTAAAACGAATTCGTTTTTGTTTAATAATAATAATAATAATAATAATAATACGACTCTTAAGTAGTCCGGAAATTTGAATATGGGGGGATGAAAAAGAAATTTTCTATTCTTGTACTGACGTATCACGTCGTAAGGGTCGCGCACGTGTACGCCTAAGGAAATGAAAGTCACTGCGAATTATTTAGTCGTACCGGATGATGATGATGATGATTTAAGGGAAGGTAAAAACTAAAATCGAAGGAGGGGGAGAGGAGGGGGAAGCGGGAAATCACAAAAAAAAAAAAAATTTTTTTACTTCTCGTTTTTCCCGTTAAAAAAAATAATAATAATGATAATATTTACCCGATCGTTCGTTTCGTTTTTAAAACGTTATTAATAACGGCTTTGTATTTATTAAAAACACTTGAAAGCTGTTTGTTTTTTGAAAATTATTTAAAATACAAAAGAAGATTTTACGCCTGCAAAACAATGGCGGATCTTTTTCAACGAATGAAAATTCAAAATCAGCAACATTTAATAAATAAATAAAAAAAAGAAAATTTCCCCCCCCCCCCACAATTTTTTCAACTCGCCACCGTGAAAAAAATTTTTTTTTTCTTTACTTCGTTCAAATTTTAAATAATAACGCGGCGTTTTTCGGTTTTATTATTATAATTATTATTATTAATAATAAATGGAAAAAGTTCGTCCTCGTACACGCAAACGCACACGCACAACCTTCACCTCTTCCTCCTCTACCTGCTCCCCCCCCCCCGGGTAAAAAATCGAGAATTTGATATTTTTTATTATAAAAAAAAATTGCCATCGTTTAAATATTAATAATAATAACGATAAAATCTTTCGAAATAAAACTTCAACAACAACAAAAATAAAATGTTAATTAAAAGAAAATTTTTACGTTCGTCATAAAAGCGACAAAATCGTATTCGTCTTCTGCTAAAAATCGGCAAATTTTAAAATAAAACAATAAGGACATCCCTGTCGACATTTAAATTTTTTTTTTTTTTTATCTAAACGATGATCTGAACGTAATAACATTGTAACTGGAAGTTGTAGAAACCGGTACTTGAAAATACAACAACGAAAAAAAAAAAAAAATACAAGTTTGCCATCGCTGGATTCTCTCCAAAATAATCAATTTTCTCAAATTACACACGCACACGCACGCATACACAATTTGCCATTTCTCTCAATGTTTTTATTAACGCATAAAAAAAAAAAAAAAGAAAAAGAAAAAAAATTATTACAAGTTTTTTTTTATGATTTAATAACGTCAGAAATGCTTCATCCGAACGAATTATCATCTTCGATGGATTCTATATCCTACGATGGACCGTTAACGGTTCCATCACAACAATCGTCGCAAAATCAACAAAACACAAGAACAAAAAGAATGAGAACGTCATTTAAACATCATCAGTTAAGAACAATGAAATCATATTTTGCCATAAATCAAAATCCCGATGCGAAAGATTTGAAACAATTGGCGCAAAAAACTGGCCTCTCGAAAAGAGTATTGCAGGTACACATACATTTATATACATGTAAAACGCAATTGAATTTCACGATAATGATAATAATTATAATGATAAATCCTTTGAACAGGTTTGGTTTCAAAATGCCAGAGCGAAATGGAGGAGGAATTTAATGAGACAGGAAAGCGGTTCGAATCAACAACAGCAACCGGGTACTCCGGGTTCGAGCACGTCCTTATCCGTTTCAAGCACCAACAGCATAGACTGTCCAACGAATTTAACGTCGTCATCCGTATTGATAAATGATAACAACGGATCCATAACGCCGCAAAATATGGACGACATTCATCATCATTTACACCAGAGCCAGGGGGGGCAAAACATTAATTACGGAGAAATATATTAACTTTTATAAACATATATAATAAGAACCCTTCGCCATTTTTAATTTTTATTATTATTATTATTATTAATATCGTAGTTATAACGATGTGCGACACGCGGAGCACGCGCGCACGCGCACGCACACACAAACACAAACACAAACAACGATGAAAAACTGTCGAGTTTGCCAATGGGTTAATAAGCTCAAATTTTTACAAAATGTGCCTCAGCGATGGCATAATTAATAATAATAATAATAATGATAATAAGCATGCAATACGTAGATATTTATTACGTAAAATTTATATTCATTAATTTAAAAAAAATTATTTATTTATTTATTTATTACCAACGAATTATTTCTTTTTAAAAATAAAATAAAAAATAAAATAAATTTCGTAATTTAAACGAATTTATTATTTATTTATTGACCTTTCGATGGCATTACCAAAATAATTATATTGATTATTTATAATGCAAAGAAAAAAATAAATAAGTAAATAAATAAATAAATAAATAAATAAATAAATAAATAAAAATAAAAATAAAATAAAATAAAATAATTTTTTTTTTTTTTTTTTTTTATAATGATTCACGTTGGTTTGGCGACGTAGCGTAACGTAACGTAAAAAAAAAAAAAAAGAAAAAAAAAAAATTTTTTTAAACGTTTATTTTTTTTCATTAATTAATTAATTCAATCATTCATTCATTCATTCATTCATTCACTCACTCATTCATTCCTTTCCTCCTTGTATTAATAGGTTATGTACGTAAATACGTTCGCAATTACCGTGTGATAATTAAAAAAAAAAAAAAAAAAAAATTTCGGGCGTGCGTTTGGAGCATGTTTGTGCGTGCGTGCGTGCGTGTGCGGACCCGAAAACAAAAAATTTTATTTCTAATTTACGCAATCGTTCATTTCAATGATACGGACGCCATTTTTTTTAAAATAATAATAATAATAATAATAAAACAAATTAGCGGCGATAGATGATTCCGTTAAACGTAAATATTTTCCCGCGACTTGAATATAATTTTTTGAAATTATTCAATAATGGCGGTTACGATATATATCGATTTTAGGTTTTTTTTAGTCTCAGGTATAAAAGTAAAAAAGTAAAAATAAAATAAAATAATAAAAAACACTAACCGTTTGACATGGTAAACACAACGACAAGTAGCTTTTGATGACGTTTTTATTCTTTTCGAAAAGAGATGAGATGATACCGAAAGATTTATGCTTGACATGAAAATCGAGTCTTCGACTCGAGTTTTGTACCGGATTAAAGAAGACCTGATTAAAGAGATATCCTCCTAAGGTATGCCGTCCAATAAACCAAATCAAAAACTAAAAGGTGGTCCTAAAAAAAAAATAAATAAAAAAATTTAGTTTCCTTTTTTTTTTCTTCTCATTGAAACGGACTCGGGGGAGGCGGGGGAGGGAGGGAAGAAGAGAGAGAGAGAGAGAGAGGAAGAGAGAGAGGAAAAAAACGAACGTGCACGTGCGCTCTCCACCATACCAAAATTGCAACCTTTCGAGTGGTGTTGGTGTTGGTGGTGGTGGTGATACACGAAAATGACAACATCGACACAAAATAAAGAAAATTTTTTTTTTCATTTTTTCATTTTCACACGAATCCTTTTCCCTTTTTATCATCGAAATATCTTTTGCCAAAGATCTTTAAAGTTGTGACAGGGTGAGAGAAAGAGAGAGAGAGAGAGAGACATCATAACATGCGGGTCGCAAATAAGAGTGAATGCCTTCGTGAGAAAGGGTTAACACGGAGCCCTCTTATTAAGGGACCCACCCAGTCTCCCCAGCCGCTATCATGTCGCGTTATCGCGACAATAACTTTTATATACATACATGAATGGACGACGTGAAAATACACGCATACATTTTCTGGATATCATCGTTTTTGATGACAAAGTCTGCGATGTAAGTCGTCCATTATATTTTCTCATGCTTGGATGATATTCTTATATTTATTATCATCATCATCATCATCATCATTACCAACTTTTTTTTTATTTTTTGGATCGTAAGTGACAAATTGTTTCTTATTCATTCATTATTATTATTATTATTTTTTGAAATTTTAAACTTATTTACGTAATTTTTTATTTTTTCACTTAATAATATTATAAATAATGAAACAAAAAATAAATAAATAAATCAGTTTAAATAAAACAACGCAAAGTATTAAAAATTAAAAAAAATAAATCATCATCATTATTATTATTATTATTATTATTTTTCATAATCATAATCATTATTATTATTTTATCCTCGGGTTCGTTTTTTTCTTTTTTTTCCCCCCTCCCTCTCGTCAACAATTTTTTATTGTTTTTCCTTCGCGTTTGATTGTTAATTCTCTCTCTCTCTCTCTCTCTCTCTCTATCCTTAACAATTTATTAAATCATTCATTCCCCGATTTCGTTTGTTGTTTGTTCGACATAACAAAAAAAAAAAAAAAATATTTTAAACAGGTATAAAATCATCCACGCGTTTTATTTAAAAAAAAAAAAAGTGCGCAATTGGATTTTGTTTCTTTTTTTAATTTTCAACATTTAAAAATTAAATGAGAAAAGAAAAAAAAAAAAAATTGATTAAGTTGTTATTATGGTTGTTGTTGTTGTTGTTGTCTGTTCAAACAAACATGGCTCGAAGTCAATAATAAAAAATAATAATAATAAAATAAATAAAAAAAAAAAACTAATAAAAACATTAAAATTTAAATATTTATGTGAATGCTGATATAATAAATATTTCGTAAAATTTAATATTGTTTTTTTAAATAAAAAAAAAAAAGCAGACGAAAATAAATAAATAAATAAATAAATCGAAAAAGGCGGTGAAATAATAATTAAAATGTTGGAAAAAGTTTTTCGACAAAAAAAAAATAAAAAAATAAAAGCATGAATAAGGCGCGAAATACCTGACAAATAAATCAAAAAAAATTATTTATTTATTTATTTTTTTTTTTTTACGCTTGCAATTAAATTTTTTTTTTTTATTTATTTTAAATAAATAATAATGATGATGATGATGATGATGATAATACCGGAGACATTTTTTTTTTTTCGGTTAATAATAATAATAATAACAAAAACCTGATTGGAATCAATTTTTTTTTTTTTTTTTGACTGAAAACAACAATCAAGATTTTTCTTTTTTTTACACGATTATTATTGATGAGTTCTTCGTGTTAAAAAAAAAAAAAAAAAAGAAGACGAAGAAGAAGCAGAAGAAAAAGAAGAAAAAGAATAAAAAATCACAAGGTTAACTAAAAATTTTTTTAACTAATCAATCATGATAAAAATTATTTAAAAAAAAAAAAAAAGAAAAAAAGGGAAAAAGTCAATCCTGGCGCATTCCTGTCAACGCGATTATCAAACACGCGCAATGTGTGGTCACTTATAGTCGAGACCTTTTAAACACGCAACTCACACGCACGTACGCACACACACAAACAAACAAACAAACAAACAATCGTAAAGTTTGTGTAGGTAGTTGGTTGTTCAAGTATTCTTTTTATAGTTTTCTTCCCTGTCAATTCCGCGCAACGTGTGAGCATGTAAAAAACGTGACGACGGTGTAGGGCTGAGCTCAATATCGAAAACAAACAATGATACAAACAATCATACAAACAAACAAACAAACAAACAACCGCGAAATAAATCGGCAAATTACATTCCGATTCCACGGTTGTATTTTTTTTTTTAATAATGTAAAATTTTTTCAAGTACAAATTTTTAGCGGGAGCCTTGTTAAACGTTTGTGTAATCATTACGTCACGGTTTATTAATACGTCATAATTCCCCCCCCGTCCACTCTTCTGTCGTTTTTTCAAACTTTGAACAAAATGTACCCGATCAAAAAAAAAAAAAGAAAATCATTTGTTTTCGCTTTTCTTCTACTATTTACCTGTCGTAATCAACGACAACGAAGATTATTATTTTAATTTATTTTTTTACGTCATCATTTCGAAAGTTATTTAAATTTTAAATATTATTATTATTATTATTATCATTATTATTATTATTATTATTATTATTATTATTATTTTTTGACCGATCGTGTCGACCGACGGAAACAATTTAGTTTCGATTCAAAAAAAATTTTTTTTTTTTTTTTGCGTAATCGAATAAAAATTATTATTATTATTATTTTTATTATTATTACTATTATTATTAGTTGCGCAATTAAATAAATAAATAAATTTAATAGGTTTTCTGTCTGCCGTTATAAAACAAAAAAATGTTTTAAATCACGTAGTCCAAAAACGTTTTACTATCAAAAAAAAAAAAAAAAACCCAGAAAAATCTTATAAATAAAAGAAAAAATTTCATCAAACGTTTTTTTTTTTTAATTTTAATAAAAACCTTTCGATTTAAATAATAATAATAATTAATTAAAACGATCGATTGTAAATCGATAAATCGACGACGACGAACAACACTAAATTTAATTTCCAACAACAAACGCCTACCAAAAAAATGTTTAGGCAACATCAACGCGTAATTGTCATTTTTAAAAAAAATCCCTCCCACTTTTCCCTCACTCACTTCCGTTTTTTTCTCTGACGTCACGTCAATTTTTTTTTTTTTTTCCCTCTATGAAATATGAAAAATTAATTCGATATATATATATACATAAATATAAATTGCCGGGAGGTGATTTTAATTTACTTAATTTAAACGTTGTCATAATTTGACAATGTAAATTTAAAAAATGAACATTATAATAATCATAATAATAATAACATTTTGCGGGGGAGAGAGAGAGAGAGAGAGGGAAAATTCACATAGAAAATGATAATAATAACATGAATTACAACAGAAAGTAAATTGGAAAAAAAAAGAAAAGAAAAAAAAAAGGTAACGACGATGATGATGATGATGATAAAAGTCACTATGATACAGCCAAAACCGTTATAAAAAATTTTTTTTTTAATAGGATCGAACAACGAACGGCGAGGATAAAGTTTTGTCGAAAAAAATTGAAAACGAAAACGATGG